GGGCCGCGAGCGTGCGTGAGGGCTGAGCCGCGCCTCCCCGGCCCCGCGCCTGGATCCCAGCGGAGCTCCTTGTGCGGCCCTCGCGCTCCGTGACGCGCCCCGTCTCGCCCCCGGCGCGGCTCAGGCTCGCGCTCAGAGCTGCTCCGTCCGCCCTGCGCGTCCGCCCCTTCCACGCAGGCCCCATCAGCGAGGCGCTGGGCTGTTATGGGTCACACGATCCGCACCCCGGCACTGAAACCCGGCATTTTCAGGACGGCTTGCTTTGAGATCAATCAGACCCTATTTAAAAGCCTCGAATCTTTCTCCGCATCAGCTTAATAAACTCTCTGAATTTCCTGCTTTTATCACAACTCCATGGGCAACTTCCCGGCAAAGAGTTCTCGGTGCGTTGTTCCTCTGCGCAGCTAATTCTCCCGCCGCCTTGGCGAGCACTCTGCGAGAGAGCCCGGCTAACCGGGCGTGTGGCAACCCGCGTCCTCCCCTGGGCAGACGCGGCAGAGCCTCAAACTTTCTGGAGAACCCCCTCAGGCAATGTCTCGGGCAAACCCAGGATTCGCAGCTCTGACGACATTGAGCTTTTCCTTCCACGTTCAAAACGGAAAGGCTGGTTTCTGTTCCACAACCCATTAAACATTAAAGTTTGGGGAGAATACTGCCACGGGGACGCTGAGTTTCCCCGAATCGTGCAGGCTTTCAAACGTATTACAAGGTGCGGCAATTTATAATAGCCGGAAACTTTTCCATCCCTGGAATCCTTTTCCTGCCTCAATTGCATGGAGCTATCCGAATGAACAGATCCGTCTTCTGAGAAAAATCTCATTGTGAAGTAAATCTGCTAAAGAACTACCTCCCATTTTCCGCCTATGGCCTCTGTTATTGAATTGAGTTTTTACTGCACAACTGGGTATCTCGTGTTAAAAGTTCAGTAAGCATAAAATACAACACTTGTAATTATTACCAGTAACTTAATTTACAAGGAAATCCCTGCTGTATTATGGAAGATGTTTAAAGATGACCTGGGAACCAGTAAAACTGATATTTATTAATTTAACTAACCAAGCGTAGATCCGACACCTCACGGGGGACCCCAGTGATAAGGCTACAGAGTTAAACCCTTTTCCTGGAAACCCACACAGAAAACGAAGCCCTCCTCTGGGTGGCCAGCAGCCACCGGGCAGAAAAGTTCCTGATGTTTTTTTTAATGCGGTAACATTAGAGTAACACTTAATAAACAATTACTACTTGTGTCCGGGTAATTTATCAATATTCAAAAAAGCACACATAAATTTCAAAAAAAGGAATGAGATTTTTGATCTCCAGCAGATCAAGAGATACCTAAGTAGATAAGCAGATAGTTCTACCCACAGCATGAAAATGCTGCAGTCTGTCGAAAGCAAAAATTCACAGCTAATGAACCACGATTAATGAAATTCTTTATTCAAGAACCTGTTGTTTCCTTTTTAATTAAAAAAAAAAGACATTATCCAACATTCCGGATCAAGCAAAAGTGTTTGAAAGTAAGATTTACTGGAGGCTTTAGTCCCCTATCCAGTGGCCGGGCAGAAGGTAAAAAGAAATCTCGATTTCTGTTTGGGGAGGAATGGTCTAAGTTAAGGGAAGGAAGCCTCCGAGAACCCAGACCTGATTATTAAAGCCATTTCTGGGCACTTGCGCGGTAAAGCTGGTCTTCATTAACCCTGCGTCTCTCTCCCCTTATCTCGAAGTTTCCAGCACCATCTCCCACATCCCGAAGAAGGGGCGTGTTCCCTTTAGTATGTGTACCTGCATCACCTTGACTTTCAGGAAGTAAAATACAAACGTGGCTCCATTCCCCCACCTCCTCCGGCTTTCTTTCAGTAATCGCCAGCAAGCCTTCCGTGGCCGAATGGGCGCGTGCGCGTGCGTGTGCGTGTGCCGGAATTCTGCCCAAAGCTCCGCTGGAAAGCCCACCGTGGCCCGGCCGTCCACGCAGGCGGGGCTCCCACGGGAGGCGCCGCACTCTCGAGAGGCCGCGACTGCCCCTCGGACACCTTTTCCTCCCCAGCCTCCACTCAGCAAGGACAGCAACTGCCCCCCACCCGCTAGGGCGCCGCCCACCTTCAAAACGAACCCTGGACAGAGAAG